GATCCCGTGGTGCCAGAGTCTCTCACAGAAGGCGTAGTCGTCTTCAAAGGTCTTGTGGTCCCCACTGTACTGGGTGGTGACTCAGGTAATCTAGATTGTGAGGTCGTTTCTGTGTCTACACGTGATGACCCTTTGGTCTCTGCTTTTACAGACGATGGTCCTGTGGTGCCAGAGTCTCTCACAGAAGGCGTCGTCGTCCTCAAAGACCTAGTGGTCCCCGGCATACTAGGTGATGAACCAGCTGTTCCGGGACGAGCTGTCGTGCCCGGGTCTCCACCTGATGACCCGGTGGTCTCTGCTTCTACAGACGACGACCCAGTAGTGCCAGAGCCTCTCACCGAAGGCGGAGTTGTCTTCAAAGATCCAGTGGTCCCCTGTGTACTTGGTGTTGACTCAGGTAGTCTAGATTGTGAGGTTGTGCCAGTGACTACACGTGACGACCCGGTGGTCTCTGCCTTCACAGATGATCCCGTGGTGCCAGAGCCTCTCTCAGAAGACGGAGTCGTCTTCAAAGACCTTGTGGTCCCCGGTCTATTGGGTGGTGAACCAGCTGTTGCAGGACCAGCTGTTGTGCTCCGGACTACATCTGATGACCCTGTGGTCTCTGCTTCTACAGACGACGATCCCGTGGTGCCAGAGTCTCTCACAGAAGGCGTAGTCGTCTTCAAAAATCTTGTGGTCCCTACTGTACTGGGTGGTGACTCAGGTAGTCTAGATTGTGAGGGCGTTCCTGTGTCTACATGTGATGACCCTGTGGTCTCTGCTTCTACAGACGATGGTCCTGTGGTGCCAGAGTCTCTCACAGAAGGCGGCGTCGTCCTCAAAGACCTAGTGGTCCCCGGCATACTAGGTGGTGATCCAGCTGTTCCGGGACGAGCTGTTGTGCCCGGGTCTCCACCTGATGACCCTGTGGTCTCTGCTTCTACAGACGACGACCCCGTAGTTCCAGAGGCTCTCACAGAAGTTAATGTCGTCTTCAAAGATCTAGTGGTCCCTGGTGTACTGGGTGTTGACTCAGGTACTCTAGATTGTGCGGTCGTGCCAGTGTCTACACCTGATGACCTGGTGGTCTCTGCTTCTAAAGATGACGATCCCGTGGTGCCAGAGCCTCTCACAGAGGGCGTCGTCCTCTTCAAAGATCTAGTGGTCCCCACTGTACTGGGTGTTGACTCAGGTAATCTAGATTGTGAGGTTGTGCCAGTGTCTACACGTGATGACCCTGTTGTCTCCGCTTCCACAGACTTTGGCTCTGTGGTGCCAGAGTTTCTCACAGGAGGGGTCGTCTTCAAAGACCTAGTGGTCCCCGCTGTACTGGGTGGTGAACC